AACCATCTCTTTTATCCCCAGTCAGGACATATGAAGAATTAAATTCCCTAGTAGAGTAAAAAACGACTAAGGTTCTTGAATTCTACTCCCCAAGTAGAAATCAACATTCCCTGCAGATTTTCCTTAAACAACAAATAGGATTTTCCAGCGGAAACACTCTAAACAAGGTTGAAGATACACATACTCTTCATCTCTAGCAGTAGTCTAGGATTTAGCTTCCAAAAGAACTCCCCAACAGTAGTCAGGGATTTTTTTACCCAGACGAAGATACATTTCAATAGCATTACACATTAATACATCATGACATATGCATACAAATCACATATAGCACAATCTCATTTATTTTGAGAACATCATTACGCAATGCATGCATCATGACATTGCATACAACTAATTCTTTACCTTTTCAAGAAAGATCGGTCGACAGATGAGTTCCATCAACAATGAACAAGTTTCTACAAAAGACATCTTCTGGTTTAGATTTACTTCTTCCAGTTAAAAACACGTGAGCGAAAGACCTCTTCTGGTTTAGATTTACTTCTTCCAGTTAAAGACAAGCGAACAAAAGACCTTTTCTGGTTTAGATTTACTTCTTCCAGTTAAAAACATGTGAAAGAAAGACCTCTTTTGGTTTACATTTACTACTTCCATTTAAAGACAGGCTAACAAAAGACCTCTTCTGGTTTAGATTTACTTCTTCCAGTTAAATACAGACGAACGAAAGACCTCTTCTGGTTTAGATTTACTTCTTCCAGTTTAAGACAGGCGAACGAAAGACCTCTTCTGGTTTAGATTTACTTCTTCCAGTTAAAAATAGGAAAACGAAAGACCTCTTCTATTCCAGTTATCAACAGGAAAATATCATTAACATTTCTCAAATAGGTCAGAGATTAATTCCTGAAACAAGTCGGAGCAACTATCTCTACGACTAACAAAAAGTGGGTTCCAAATTAATACCTGAAACAAGACAAGACAAATATTTGGATGACCGGCCATAAATTAATACTTGAAATAAGACATGACAACTATCTGTGAACAACTGATTGTAGATTAATACTTGAAACAAGGCAAGAAATCTATCTACATGAGCAGATTGAAGATTAACTCCCAAAACAAGACGGGGAAACTATCTTTCTTTCTTCTTGGTCAGATAAAGATCAATTCCCGAAACAGGATGGGGAGATTATCTTTATCACCAAGTGGTATGAATTCCAGAAACAGGACAGGTTTACCAATAAACTGATTGTAGATCAATTCCCGAAACAAGACGGTGCAATTATCTCAACAATCATTAAAATAGGTCAAAGGTTATTTCCTGAAACACGACGGGGCAACTACCTCAATGGCCAACAGAAAGCAGGTTCCAAATTAATTCCCGAAACAAGTCATGGAAACTATTTGGATGACCAGCCGCATACAAGACAGGGTAACTATCTCAACGACCAACAAAAGCAGGTCCCATATTAGTTCCCGAAACAAGACGGGGCAACTATTTACATGAACAGATTGAAGATTAACTCCCGAAATAGGAGGGGGGAACTATCTTTCTTTCTCTTTGGTCAGATAAAGATCAATTCCCGAAACAGGATGGGGCGACTATCTTTATCACCGATGGTATAAACTCCCAAAATAGGACAAATTTACCAACAAGCTGATTATAGATCAATTCCCGAAACAGGACGGGAAGACTATCTACATGACGAGAAACTATTCAAACACCTTTCTCAGAGTTTCACTTTGGAAAACATTTTTCAGATACAGTCGGGCGAAGACTCATTCTGATCCACTTTTTAGATAGTCATCTGTAGACTCATTCTAATACATTTTTCAGATACAGTTGGGCGAAGATTCATTATGATCCACTTTTAGATAAAGCCAGGCGTAGACTCATTCTAATACATTTTTCAGATACAGTCGAGCGAAGATTCATTCTGATCCACTTTTAGGTACAATTAGGCATAGACTCATTCTAATACATTTTCAAGATACTATCAGGTGGAGACTCATTCTGATTCACTTTTTAGATACAGTTAGGCGTAGACTCATTCTAATACATTTTTTAGATACATTCGGGCGAAGACTCATTCTGATCCACTTTTAGATACAGTCAGGCATAGACTCATTCTAATACATTTTTAGATACAGTCGGGCGGAGACTCATTCTAACTCACTTATTAGATACATTTAGGCGTAGACTCATTATAATAAATTTTTCAGGTACAGTCGGGCGGAGACTCATTCTGATTCACTTATTAGATACAATCAGGCGTAGACTCATTCTAATACATTTTTAAGATATAATCGAGTGAAGACTCATTTTGATCCACTTTTAGATACAGTCAGGCGTAGACTCATTCTAATACATTTTCCAGATACAGTCGGGTGGAGACTCATTTTGATTCACTTTTTCAGATACAATCGGGTGGAGACTCATTCTGATTCTCTTTTTAGATACATTCAGGCATAGACTCATTCTAATATATTATTCAAATACAGTCGGGCAGAGATCATTCTGATTCACTTCTTAGATACAGTCAGGAGTAGACTCATTCTAATTCATTTTCCAGATACAGTCGGGCAGAGATTCATTCTAATACACTTTTTAGATACAGTCAGATATAATCAAGCACAAACATCTATTGGTTCAGTTTAAATTGACCAAAGATTTATTCTGATTCTTTTCTGATAGAAACTTTTTCTAGTTCAGTTTAAGTCGCCCTAAGATTTATTTTGATTCGTATCCAGTTAAAGACAATTCAGGACCTCTGCTGGTTCAGTTTAAATCGACCAATGATTTATCCTGATTTGTTTCTGGTAGTCACTTTCTATGGTTAAGTTAAATCAACCCTAAGATTAATACTGATTCGTCATCCAATTAAAGACCATTATAGACACTTTCTGGCTCAGATTAAATCGACCAAAAGATTTATTCTGATACTTCTCTCAGTAGACATTTTATGGCTCAGATTAAATCGACCCAAGATATATTCGGATACTTCTATCAGTAGACCTTTTCTGGCTCAGATTCAATCGACCAAAGATTTATTCTGATACTTTTCCTAATTAAAGTCGAGCATTAGACTTAGTCTGATTTCTTTATCAACAGTCACTTCTGGATGGAATCTATAAGCCCACCTCCGACGATTCTCAACCACCTCTAATGGAATCTATAAGCCCATCTCCGACAATATTATGTCACTCTACAAATGTCCCATCCCCGGTATGATCAACCAATAGCGTTACTTCTTGCACAAGCGAGTGCAAATTTCTGGGCACTTAAGTGTTCAATCATCTTCTACCTTCAAGTTACGAATGGTGAACATGCCAATCTAACTCTTCAAGTTGAAGAAGATTGAACAGGGTCAGTTGTTGTACCCCAAAAATTTTCCTCCATTTTTCATTCAAGATATTCTCCTAGGGTTTCTCAAATGCTCAAGATGGCTCAAGAGTTGATCAGACAAATTCTCCTCCTAAGCATTAGGTCCAAAACTAGGGTTTGGTATTTCTCAAGCAAGATTGGGTTTCCAAGGTATCAAGTGGCTTTCATGGTTCTTCATATGTGTTCAAGAAATCTCATATCAAATTTCATGCCTTGCATCTTAAGTTCGCTTAGTCAATTGCTCAGATGATCGAAAAACAACTGTATTGACCAAAAAGTCAACATTTTCAAGATCAAGTTCAAATGATTGTAATTTCTTCATTATTCAATATTTTTGAGTGGTTCTTTTTGCGTATGAATCTCCTTGACTCCATCTCAAACTTCTCTTTACAAGTTAAGAGTTGATTATATGCGAAAGATCATCAAAAATTTGAATACTTTAGAGGTCACTTTCTGGACTTTAACCTAATCTCAAGTAACTGTTGCCTGACTTCCAAGAATCGTAATATCCTCAATTTTCAATATCTTGAGACGATTATTTTTGCACGTTGTCATAAGCGATTTCACCTACAAGTTCTCTTCAAGGATCGAAGGAAGAATTGTGTTTAGAAGACCTTGAAATTTATCGAATTCTCATAGGTCGTTTTCTTAATTTAGAATTTTCTTAACTTCTAATTTCAACTCATGCCATAATTGTTTTCACAGGACTATGATTCTCATGCTGAAATCGTTCATGGAACAAGATGTTGAGTTCGAACAAGATATTTCTTATAATACAAGTTACCATGTTGGAAATTGATTTAGGATCTCGGTGAAAATGATTTGAGGATTCATTTGAGTAATGTCTTTGATTTCAATTCAAGTTAGCAAAGCATTACACGATATCACAAGTTTCGTCCAAATTTTCTATGGTTCATTCGCGTTAATTATTTTGAATTTAATGTATCAAAGACGAGTTCACTTAAATTTGATCAAATTAATTCAAGCTTCCAATATTGGAGCCTTGTTGGAATTCAAACATGATAATGTTATGCTTTGATTCATGGGTTCTCTAAGTTACAATTCTCATGAACCAAATCAAGTTGACAAACCTAATTCAAAATTTATGGTTATTCATTTATTTTCAAACATATCATTATTCAAATCCAATACTTTTCAACATGAGAGTTCTTACATCTATTCAAGTTATCAAGATCCATGAGATAAATCCACATTACTTCTTAAAGATTGCAAGAACAAAGTGCAAGACTTTTTCTTAGTTGCATTACAATTCAAGATAATTCAAGCTTTTTACAATTTTTCAAGTTACAACAAAAGGAAAATAAATCTCAAGTTATTATGCCTAAAGAGGTTGAAGGAGTTACAAAAAATCATAAGTCTATGCTAATTTATTTCTAATCTTCTAGGCCTATGCTTAAACTTCATACTCCAAAACCATGCTACATCATGCTAAAGAGTCCAAGCCTGCAAACCTGCCCTATACATCCCATAAACCATGTCCAAAACTTGTCCAAACCAACCCTACAAACTGTCAAACCTGATTCACCAAGCCGCTACTAGGCTAAAACCATGTCAAAAAATAGTCTTCTGCCCTGTACAAAGCCAGCTCTACACCAAGCTGTCACTCCACTCCAAAACTTGTCATAAACATCCAAACATTGCACCAAATTAGAAGACACAGAGCTGCATAAGAAAAGAAATAAAACAATGCACTCAAATAGTTCAAATACTTATCTTTTCCCCCTAAATTCTCATCTTTCTCACTTATAAAAGGCAGCAAAGAAGGAAGAAAAAAAAGAAGGAGAACAAATTACACAGTAAAACTCTTAATCTTTCTCTCTCTTCAAAACACGATTCCAAAGAAAAATTACAGGAAAAAAAAACTTCTCTGAGTTCCCTTGATTCTCTTCCTGCAGCTTCATACCACAATTCATTTTTCAGATCCATTCATTCATATAAAAATGAACCACGAATTATTTCACCAAAATCACCATAAAATTTCTTCACACTCTCTTTTAATTTTCTCTCCTTCTTTAATCTGATTCACCTTTCTGCATCAAGTTGCAACAACCTTATTGAACATCAATATCAAATCTGCCTCAACTTCTATGCTTCAATCTTCACTATGTGAACATCAACTCATCGCTCTATCAACAATTTCATTGTATCTTAATTTCTTGACAACAGAAACAACGTATCTGCAATTCAAAAAACGCAGAGATTCAAAAAATGAAAAGGAGAAGAGTAATTAGAAGAAGATGCGATATTGACTGCTAAAAAACCTCAAATACCTCTTCAAACTCAAGAAACCTTTTATAAAACCAACAATCATTTCCAAAAACCTCTTCCCTGCTTCCATCTCATAACTTCCTTAAGAAACAAAAACCAGAGAAATTCACCAACAATTATCACATTGAACTTCTGTAAAAACCTTTCAATTACTCACTAACCAAACAAAAAAAAAACCCTCAACTAACCTTCACAAACCTCATTCGTAGTAAACCTACAACCTTCACTCATCATACACCATTAATCTCAGTCATTAAACCGAACAGAAAACCCACACGCAAATTTCCTCACATCCGCAAAACCATACTCATTGATATCCCTGTTCAACACTTATTGTTAAGCTACCGATTCACCATAAAAACCTATCATTTTTCATTCTTGAATTTCCATCAAAAAAATTAAGTTAACATGCTCATAAAATTTGTACAAACCCACTCATCAAGTATCAAAACCTGCAGTTTTTAGAAGACGACGCGTTCCGGAAGAGCATTTTCACATAGAATTTCCAAAAGAAGAGAAGAGGAAAATAAAACCTACCTGAACAGAAGTTTGCATCGAAACTGAAACCCTCAGACTAGCTCTGAGTTTGTAAGTTTCTTGTCATTTTTCACGAATTTGTTATGCTGTATTTTGTGAAATTATCTGGGAATATTGTTGTTGTTGTAAACCGTGAAAAACTAGGAGATATAATGTATTGTTATCACTTTGCTTTTGAATCGTTTGAGAGAGAAGAAGCAAACTGAAGGAGATAAAATCCCTGCAGAAACACAGAGAAAATGAGATGATGAAGAATCGAGAGAGAAATGGAGAGGGAGAATCATGAATAATTTGAGGGAAGAGGATAATTTTTTTCTGTTAAGGTTATGGGGAATTAAACAAAATTAAATTTTGAATCAATGTTGACTTTCCCCTTTCCCCATAAGCATAATCCACGACGTGTCTTTATCCCTTCAAATTAGGGTTTGTAACAAGCCCTTTCCATTCCCTTTTAGAGATCTGAATCTGGGTTTGGGCCTAGCCCAACCCGTTTTGCAAGTATCAGCTTTTGTATTAATTGAGACGCAAAAATAAATGAATGAGAGCATAGCGCAGTGGTTGGGGTGCTAGTTCACAAGCGTGATGTACCGAGTTCGAGACCCGTGGGGGAATTTTTTCTTTTCTGCATTTTTCCTCAACACACACCTTTCTTCTATTTTTAACAAATTCATTTGGGCTTTCAACTAGACAAACAACTAAGCCCATTTTGAAAATTACCTCATGCACTCCCATTTTGCTGTTTTAATTGAGTCTATTTAATTTTGTTTTGTTTAATCTTTTTTTTATTTTATTTTTAGGTTTAGATTTTAATTTCAATTAATAATATTAGTTTTTCTTAACCACATCATTTTCTTAATTAACTTAGTTTTGAAAATTAGTTTATAAAATATTGTGAATAATAAATTTTGTTAGTTAGCATTTTATTCTAGTTTTAATATTGTTTAATTGATTTCTTCTAATTGTTTTATTTTCTTCATAATAAAAAAAATACCAAAAAAATTATTTGGAATTTTAATTCTTAAATTTTCATTCATAGATTTTTTTTTAAATTTTATTATTTGATAAAACCAAAAAAAAAAAGTTCTTTCTCTTTTCATTTTCTAGTAGTTTACTATTTTCGCATTTTTTCGATTATTGTAATTGTTTACAGTTTTTAATAGTTTAATTAGGCTTTTACTTCATCCTCATTCATAAATTTATACCCCCATTCCCGAAGCTTTGTAATAGCGTAGAACTTTATTTTCCGCACTTTATCGTATTTCCTTATACTGTATAGTAATTAGGCGTGTATGATAAGATCTAAAATCAAATAATAGATAACCCTAATATCAAGACAATTCAACTGAAAACAAATCACTTTTCGCACAGGCGCACCTCTAGGGTAACCCTGCTTGTTGCCTTCGAAAAACAGTCATGTCCCTCGAATATGGGACACTTTAGCAAAGACCCTTGATTTAAAAAGATCGTAGTCCCTTGATGACCCTTCGATGTTGCCTTCAGTAAAAAGATCTTAGTCCCTTACGAAATATGCTAAAACGTCTCATAAGTCGCCTTCTATGACTGTACGATGAGCCGCGCCTGTCACTCACATCTAATGATAGGGCTTCTTACAAATCAATGGTAAGATATCAATATCTAAAGGAGGAGGAAAAGAACAAAGACTTCTTTTGAGTAGGTAGAACGTTCGTAGTTGCTTACTCACAAACATTTCAAAACAAAATAAATTTCAACACACCAACACTTTCAAATGAAATATTTTCAAAAATCAACACTTTGTATACATTCTTATAGAGACGAGAATCATTACAAAGTTCGCCTAAACAAATGCAATTTTCAAAAATACTTTCAAAACAAACACAAACACATTTTACAAAGTATTTCAAAGTGAGCTAGCAACTAAGAGACCGTAGATAACTATAGATGAAAAGGGTGCTAACACCTTCCCTTTTCATAATTTACCCCCCAAACTCAAGAAAATTCTCAAAAGGTTTTTCCTATTCTTTTCACCCTTTCCTTTATTGGAGAAAAGAAAAGTCGGTGGCGAGACTTGCTATCCACAACAATTGCGATAAAACGCAAAACACCTAAGTCAATTCTCCCACCGTATCACACCAAGCCTCAACCTCATTCTTTCTCCAACCACACACTGTATGTCTTCATCTTCTTCATCTTTCATAAACATGCAACAACAATATCAACAACATCGTGATAATGCAACATCCAAAAACGAAAGAAAATAGAAGACTCAGAAGAAAAATACAAAGAGATGATATAAAGAAGAAGAATATCAGGAGGAAGAAATCGAGGGATATCGTACCTAAATTGATTTCTATATTTCTATTTCATCGACAGCATCTCTGAAACGACGTAAGAGCATTTCCGCTGGTAAGATTCGGAACCTTATTTTTTTCGTCTTCTTTGTGACTTCTTGATATAAGTACGTAGAAAAAAGCATGTAGATTAATGGCCCCATGGAGGTGCAATTGGGAATCCATTCATCCTTGTCTAATTTGAATTCTTAGAGACTTAAGGTTTACATGTTTTTGGATAAATTTAGAACAAACAAAAAGAGATTGATGAAAAAGGATTCAGGATTTAGAACATTCATTTAGAAGCAAAGATATTGGTGTATGTGGGTTAAGGTTTCCGATATAGATGGTGGTGGTCGTGGCAATGATTTATCGTTTGTGAATAGCGATGATTTGGATGATATGAGGTCAAAGAAGAGGCGTGAAGCTATGGCGGAGTGAGGTGAGGCTATGACAGAGTGAGGTGAAGATAATACGGAGAAGACAAATAGCAGCAGCGGGGAGAACGATAAGGATGAAAGTGGGGATCGGGTTCTCAAGAGAAGACCAAGAGTCACTCTCCCAACCTAATGTAAAACTGCATCGTTTCACATTTGTCTTGTTAATTAATTATTTTATTTTATTATTTTTTTCTTTCTTACAAAAGGTTTTAAATAATAACAATTATGATGCTGGAAATGTGAAATTAGTGATGATTGGAGTGGGGCGTACCGAGTTACTCCACACTTGGGCCCATCACTATTTTTTTGAAAGCTGGAACTTGATTTGACAAAAAAAAAGCAGCTTGTGGACTATTGTTTTCTATTGGGCCTCGCTTGCCACCATGCCATCAATCCCTTGTATTTTTTTTATAGGCTGAATGAGTCAAACAACAAAAATAGCATTAGACTCTACTGATTGGGCCTGCGCTTGAGTTACTACCACAACTCCTGGATTTCAGCTCATACCCCACTGATTCATTGGTTTTGTTTTAATTTTGTTGTTTTAATTCTTTTACCAATTTTTATTTGGCTATGTTTCTTGACATAAAAATTAAAAAATAAATAAAATTTGTTTGATCTCTTTAGTTGATTTTAGGAACTAATTTTTTAGTTTTTGATAGAATTTTCCTGATATAAAAACTAATAAAAACACTTTTTCTTTTAGATTTTTTGTTCGTACTTTCATACCGCTTTGCCTTGTTATTTTTTACGTGTTTGTTCATTATGCAAGGTATATTTTGGTGCTTTAGATCATGTAACATAACAGGTTGTTATATGATCGAAGCATATGGCTTATGCTCGCTTCTGATGCAACACACCTTATTTTCTCATTGTCCTGAGAAATTTACATCATATTATATGTTGTCCCGATGCATGTGATATTTAGTGATACTTTGTGCAAGAACTTCTAATTACACATTGCATTCACAATACGTGTTTTATTTTATATTAGTTGCATATTATTTTTAACTTTGTTTGTTTCTTGATGAAGCTTGCTCGACACGTACTCCCTGCTTCTCCATTGCTTCCATCCACTTTCGAGGATTCGCTTGCTTTTGGTAGTTGTCGCTGCTGATTTTATATTTTTCAACACTTTATCTCATTTCAGCACATTACTGCTTTCAATGCCATGAGAAGTAGGACTATAGATATATGATGGGGATCTCCGTTGCTGATCATGTCAGGAACCCCTCTGGTTTATTCAAAGACTCGTTTAGGGAAATTTCGCATTATGTGCATTTTGTATGCTATTTGTATTTGTTTAAAACCATACCTTTGTATAGGTATTTTGCAGGCGTGTTTACATTTATGCTCGCACATGTTACAATTA